ACTCAAATGATGAACACATTCCTCCCTTTTCCCATTGTGTTAGGTACCCTAACCTACTGATCAGAAACCATACCTCTGCTCCCATCCTGCCTTCTGATCAATTAGAATAACAAAAGTGGCCAAGCATTAGTTGGAGCTTATAAGTGAGTGAGAAAATTCTCCCCTCCCATTTCGCCAACAAGCAAAACTTAAACCTGCAGGTCTTAGAGATTGAAGGTGAGAAATAATTCATCAAGTGGTTCACCTAGAATGATAGCAAGTGGGGCCACTCATGCTTCTATCATTTGGTCCCTAAACCCATGCATTTATTTCACTGGGGACTCAGAGCCATATAAGGGCTAATTTTTGATTCAAAGTGAATGACACCTAGAAAATAGTGTCCAGTCATTGTAAAGTATTGCCTCTCAGCTGGCACTTGAACTGTGTTTTTACTAAGCCACTCCAGTGTTCTAACAGGTCTGTGCATTGCATTGTGTGTGATGCACTATGTGATTTGTGGATTCCATGACTGTGGTCCCAGTACCACACCACTTTTATTTTATTTTTTTTTGGCGTAAGTGGTCACTGAATGTAGTGGTCCCGTGTCAATTGTTCAAATCTTCATATAACAGTGTTGACTGAGGTCCTACAAGCAGAAAAGGAAAATATGTATCTGCAATATTTGTTTATTTCTATGAGAATAAACTACTGTTCCTTCCAGAATGGAAGGAGTCCAATATAGTCCAGTTGCTGCCAAGTGGCTTTGGTGGCCTCAAAGGATATCGTATCAGGGACTTAGCATAATTGCTGGCGGGCTGGACATACAGTGACAACAATTAGCCTTGCTGAGTGCCAGTCTACACTGTTGTGCCCATGTTTAGTCTCCATCCTCACCACCATGGCCACTTTCCACCTCTTTCTCTGTGTCAGCACCAGTGAAGCCAATGTTAGAGGATAGCTGACTTCCTCTCACTGGGACATCCTTTTCTACCTGCCTGCTTAATGCTTCTTCTATTGGGGATGCTTTGGTGCTAACACACAAAAAAGTCTTCCCACTTCTTTTCCACGCCCATATGTCCACTCACCTGCTTTGACCCCAGATTATCTTGTGCTCTATCTTTCAATCTTTCTTCTTTCATGACTCTGAGCAGATAAGTCATTCATTCCATGCCATGAATCCTAATTTAGTCTATACTTAGGCCAGTTTCTTTTTTTTTAAGGTGTGCACCCTATTGCTCTGCTTATTAGGACAATCTCCCCTTACAATTGTCTTAGAAACTTTCTGATTGGGCTGTAATGCAGCTTCCATCCATTTCAGTTTGTACACACATAACAAGGATACCTGTCTGTAGTTCAAGCTCAGACTTTTCTCTGCTCTGTCAGTTGTTTATAAACATATTCCATACGGCCATAAGTGTGAGGTACATGTGCTATAGTGTTGGCATAAGCTGAAAGTGAGCTTCCTGTTTGTGCAGCTTGCTTCTTCCATGTGATCCTGCTCATGCTCAATCCAGATGTGCCACCTCTACCTTGTAAGGGATTGTTGTCTGCCTGACCTTAGAACTTGATGGGTCTGATAGACCCAGCTCATCATGATTGATGTTGGCTACATGGTCACTTGAAAACTCAAGGCTTTGTGTCTATCAGGTCCAAGTAACATGCCAGCAGTTACAGTTCAAAAAGCATATAATTTGAGGCCATCAGTTGGCGTAATGGCTATGTCACTGGACTCCCATGTAGTTGACCACGGTTCGAGTTCCAGAACCGGTGGCTTAAAACTCACACCGGGTGCATGTGTGTGCGTGCCCAAGATCCTGAAAGGAGAATGGAGGAGAAGGGATTGTGGTGTGGCCATCCCCCCTCGGGGGTGATTTCTTGCTTTCTGTCTCTCTGTCTCTCTCTGTCTTTCTGGTGAGCACATGCGCCCTATACCAAAAACTTCTCAAAAAAAAAAAAAGAAAGAAAAAAGAAAAAAGCATATAATTTGTTACTGAAGTGCATGGGCTTGCTTCAAGATCTCTAGGGACTATGGAATGATTGTCCTAGTGACATTCCCATCATTTCTTTCATAGCCATGTTTGATACACTAGTCTCAGCAGGGACTTAAGGCCCAAGCAGCAGGGATAATTTCCCTGCATGCTGGACCTGCTCCAGAGACCTTTTGTAACATGAGCCCCACTCAAACTTGGCAATCTTCTGTGTCACCTAGCCTATGAGTTGGAGCAGTATTCTCAAGTATGGACTATGCAGCCTCCAGAATCTGAAAAGGTATTCTTCATAGTGGGATGTGCGTTTTGCAATAATTTCCCTTTCATTTGGATGAGATATCCTAGTGTTTCCTGAACCCTGGGACTCCAAAAATTATATTTATGTGGCAATCCCTGAATATTTTTCCACTATGCTCTGCAGCATTATCATGTTAGTTACTTCTTGCTCATTTGGTAGAATTAACATGATGTCACTGATATATTGAATCAATATGATGTTCTGTAGATGTCCAGATGGCAAGATCTCATAGTCCAAATATATATTCTTGATTCATACATTCTTAGCTTGTTCTTTGCATAGTTGCAAATGTATGCCCTTAACCCTTCTTTGTGTGTGCAAGATAGTTCTGGTCCTTTTTTCATGATAGGGATGAAAAAGAAGGGCTTTAAAATCAGCAGTCTCATTTTTCTGAAGCCACATTAATTTGCTCTAGCAACGTTCCCACATCTGGTACAGTACTAAAGTGTTGAGTCTTCAGTAGTGTACTGTAACTCTCCCAAATCCCTCTAATTCTTGTAGTAGACAGACTAGTAAATTTAATGGAGATAAGATGGAGGTGACCACCCTGACATCGTCAACTCTTTAAAAGTGGCACTAATTTCCTCCTTTCTTTCCTAGTCCTAAGGATGATATCATTTTGGATTTTTTTTTTTATTTGTTTACTTACTTATGAGAAAGACTGAATTTTGACAAGGTCTCACTATGCCAGTACCCTCCTTCTCAGCCCCTTACCTAGCTAGGGCCACAGGTGCATGTCACCATGCCTGGCCTGTTTAAGTTGGGCCTGGAGCAGAGCCCAGGCCTCCCATGTGGCCTCAGCCTCTAAGGAGTAGAATCTGAGTCTCATGTACCACCACGGCTGAGCCAATTTGGTCTTCTGTTTTCATTTTCAGTTGTTTAATTTTCCTTGGGTAGAGGGTGTGGACAGCATCGGTTGCTTCCACTTGGCCTTCTTGTACACAATAGCTATTACTTCACAGACCAAGGACCCAATATGGAGTTTGCACCAGCCACTGATTTTGTCTTTTCCAATGATACTCTCAAGGATAATGTAAATGGTCTGACAGGGGAAGCCATGATGGTTCCAGGTACCAATGTTAACTCAAACTCTTCGTCTAATAGTCTTGGATTATTGTGCACCTTTTACCAGTGCACAGATACCCTCCTGAATTAGCTGGATCCTCTTGGAGGATTGGGAAACTCACTACTGTGAATAATTTCCAAGACTTTTATTATAGCACCTTCAGTTCCGGGAACTGGCTTTTTCTTCAGACCCAGTGATCTTGGAAACTGGCCCAGGTCTAGAAACTGAGCAAGGGATTATGACTTTTTGTGGGGCCAAATGACATTAGTCTCCTGATCACTCATCCTTCATTTCTTTTGATATGAGCTGAGTAGTGTCCCTGTTGGTTGCTTATCTATTTTCACCCCTAAGAACACCATGGTCTATTAATCTTCATCACTAAGGCACCTCTCGTTGCCTCTCTGTCCTTGCAATTTATTTAAATGGTTGGCTGCATTTATGTAGCTTTTTTTTTTTTTAATTTGCCAGAGGATGTGAGTGGTTGCCAGGAAGAGAGAGAGAGAGAAGAGAGAGAGAGAGAGAGTGAGAATGATCACACTACAGTCCCCTTCTATTTTCCCCTCATTTCAAGATTTCAGGCACGCACTCACACACACACACACACACACACTTGGTGTGTTTTTAAAGTCACTGAGTCTGGGGCTCAAAACATGCAGTCGGCCATATGGGATCCAACTTCCTTAACCACTGCACCACCAGCTATCCCCATCAGTGTAGCCTCTAAGGCACATGAGCACCGCTCTGACTGCCACTGCTGTCAGAGATTTGTGCTTTAATCATCTTTCTAATCATCATCTCTGGTCTTTGATGCTGATGGTTCTCTTGTCAGAGAACGCCTTATGTTCTCGGTATACATTGTATTCTCCAGACCTTCCCATGTAATATAATCACTCGGTGGATTTTCAGCATACCTGGTATATCCACTCCAGCATGACTTCCTTGAGTCATTTAATCTCTTCTACCATTTGCCATGACAATTCAAGCATTTCAGTCTCTTTTACTGGGCCCATCGTTTTCTCCAGGCTTCCAGGAGGCATCCTAATATAGTACTTATAACAGCACTAGTCTAGCAGTGTAGGACTTTGTCTGATATTCTTGATTCTCTCTTTTATTTAACTTTCTCAAGCAATATTTGTGGATACTGAAGCGTCTCCTTTCAGGGTGGTGCTCTGCACCATGTACTACTTATTATTCCAATGTGCACTATTTTAGTTCTTCCTATGAATTTTTTTCTAGGATATTATTATTTTTTTTCTTGTTCGAAGTTTATTTAATTCTCCCATGTGTGAGAGAGAGAGACTCCAAAATGGAATCTTTGGGCTGTGATGCACTCGCAGTCTCATCTGGCCAAGATTATGTCCATATCTGGGGTGTTCAAGAATGTCCCAGGACACAAACCCAAGACTTTTCCCATATAGACCCAATTGTGTTACAACTGCGCCACTCCCTGGACCCTCTAAAATCTGTTAAAGTGCGATAGCTCTTTTCTTAGTGGGGATAGATGGACGACTTTAATTAGAAATCAAGGGCTCAGAGATAGTAGATTGATTAAAAATCTTCATAGCTTCCCCAAAACGCACCTGTCTGCATTTAGCCTGAAACTGATTTGGTGAAACTAGTACAATGTAATATAGAACAGAAAACAACCTTCATGTCAAAAATGGTCCTTGAACAGTGACAAGTTCATTAAATTGCCAATAACATGAAGGAAAACCTAAGAACTTATAACTCAAGGTTTTCTCCTGTTCCTCACAGCCTTAAGTTTACTGGAGAGTAGCACAAATGCATGGATTTGGTCAAGAAATTTTATGGCAGAAAAGATGACGTAAGGACAGGATGAACCCTCTTACACACCACGTGCATTCTGGGATATGCCACTTTACACATTCCACTGGCTCACACTCTCACTTTTCTGTCTCCTTCAAGATTGTGAGTTTCCTCCTACCATTGCCCATGGACATCATCGAGATGTACCTAGATACATATTCGGCACAAAGGAGTATGCATATGAGTGTGATGAAGGATACACTCTGGTCGGAGAATCGAGAATCTCCTGCAGCTCTTCAGTCTGGTCTGCTCTGCCCCCTAAATGTAAAGGTAACTCCAGCTCCCCTTTCAGCTCAGGCAACAGACATGAGAGGATTGAGAGCCAAGTTTCTTCCCTGCCAGAGGCAGTACAAAGACATGATTTGGTTTGATTTAATTTAAATAATCAATATGTGCAATGGTACTCAATGCTAAAACTACACAGAACATATAGGAGCACTAATCTCCACTTCTTCCAGTAACAAAATTAACCTCCTTTTTCTTTTCCATTTTTTTTAATTGCCAGAGAACATGCATGCTAACCAGAGAGAGATAGAAACAGAGAGAGACAAAGAGAGAGAGAGAGGAGAAAAGGACCCCCTCAATGGGGGTCCTCTCTTCCTGTCAGGATTCTGGGCATGCACATGTGCCCAAAGTGTTTTTCAAGCCCTTGGGGCTAGGATTTGAACTACAGTCAGCCATGTGGGATCTGGTGCCCTCTATCACTAAGAGGTCAGCCCCCAAATTTAGCATTCTTGAGACAGCTCCTATTCTGTTTCTTATAAATATTTCCAGAAATATTCTAGAGGCATCACATTTTATATGAATGTACCTGTGACAAAATTTCCATAGAAACTTGCTCTAGAATGACTGTAGGTTCCACAAGATCATCCCAGACACAGTGAAGTGACAGGTATTTTCAACAGGACCTGTTGTATTCAGATCAGCATGAGAATAAGAGGATAATCAATTTTAGCCAAATTAAAAGAGCCATTTATTAAGCCAGCAACTGCAAGAGGACTTGTGTCATTCCAAAACCTTGCAGCTGTAAATCAGGGGGAGGAAGGTTTATAAAGGCAAAAATCACAAAGGAAAAAACTAGACATCTAAGAAAATACAGGCCTTGAGTTGTGTGAAAGCAGCTAATAAAAGCCAAAAAAGCGAGTTATCAGGAAGGACAGTTATAATTGGCTGGATAGCTATAATTGGCTGTATCCACTGGTGATAAATGGCACATCTGCTGGTGACAAATATTTGGTTAGGCGGACATGGATGGGTGGCATGTTCATCTACTGGTGATAAGCATTCAGTGGGAAATTTTAGGAGGCACATGTGGGTCAGGTTACAGGGAAAGGGAAATGGCAGCAGAGTCATATTCAAAATGGAGGTGCTCATGCTTCAGGACTGGAGCAGGACACCACCTGCAGTAATACAGGTATGAATATAAGAGAGGGACTCTTCGTTTGTCGATCTGTGGTGGGAACAGGAAGAGTCAAGATCAAGTCTGAGCTTTCCATATGTACAGCTTTAGTATCACGTCACTAACAGCATCTCAGAATTTACTGGCCACCACTGTCTCCAATACAAACATGAGAACAATAGGCAAGAGGAAAAATTTTATACCCAGATTTTTCAGAGATCAAGATAGTGAGGGATAGTTACCTTGTTAGCAGAGAGTCTGAGTCACATAGATTTATTTATGTCCTGTCACTTTACTTAAAACTTAATGACTTTGGGCAACTTTCCTAATCTCTCTGCATCTCAACTTTCTCCTAGATAAAATGGAATAAGAAGAGTACTCACTTCCTAGGGTTATTGTGAGACTTAAACAAGATAGTCACCTCAAGTGATTAGCTTAACCCTGATAAGTACTCCTCCTCAATAAAAATGTTTCCTACTATTATCATTACCAAAATAACGTTTTTAAAAACAGAACAAGTAGAAACACCAAAATGCAGTTCATTCTTATTATCTTAGACTCTTACCATGCCTTTATTTTTATTTATTTATTCAGGCTTTTGTTATGGGGCATGTGCACTCTCTGGTAAGAGACAAAGAGAGAGAAAGTGAGAAATCAGTCCCCATGGGGATGTCCATGTTGCGATCCCTTCTTCTCCATTCTCTTCTCAAGATTTTTGGGCATGCATGCACATATGTCCCGCCTGATTTTCAAGTCACTAGATCTGGGACTTAAACCATGGCCATCCATGTGGGAATCCAGAGCCTTAACCACCATGCCACCTGCGGAACCACCTTTTTATTCATTTAACAGACTACTTAAAAATATGTTTCTTTTATAGCTATATGTCATAAACCAGAGATAGAAAATGGAAAGCCATCTGTGGATAAGAACCAATATGTTGAATCTGAAAACATCACTGTTGAGTGTAACTCTGGTTATGATGTGGTTGGTTCTCAAAGTATCACTTGCTCAGAGGACAGAACCTGGTATCCAGAGGTGCCCAAGTGTGAGTGGGTAAGTGGCACAATTCAAGGAATTCTATGCTGTCAAACCCAACAAATGGTGGCCAGCCCCAAAGCTCTGTCCCAGCCAGCATGTAAAATTTGAGTTTTCAGGATTCATTCCTGAGTTACTTAGAGCAACTTTTTCTTTATCTTGTCTGGAAGAACTCTGATGAGTTGGGGTGGCAAGTTCTCCAGTTCTCACTTGAGGACAGGAAAAACTAAAACTGAACTCTCAGAGAGCTGGGTTCTATGACCCTGGGAACACCAATTCCTAACTTGGCTTTCTCTCCACTGTGTAATGTACTGTTGTTCTACTCCTGGATGGTCAACAGAAATAGCCTATTTGCACGGAGGCCTTCTGGGCAGCTGTCTCAGACCAGATCTATGTTCCTCTGAGGCACACTATGGTAGGGCCCGAGTGATTTCTGGTTTTCTCTCCTCAACCACCTGTCTGAGGTTGGTCCTGGTCCCGATCCTGTAGTCTTGCCACTGTCAGGATGCATCCTCCTTCGGGACTCAGAGAGAAGCCTCTTAGCGACACTCCCCACCTCTCTCTTTTATTCAGGTGTTCCCTGAAGGCTGTGAGCAAGTCCTCGCAGGCAGAAAGCTGATGCAGTGTCTCCCAAACCCAGAGGATGTGAAAATGGCCCTGGAGGTGTACAAGCTGTCTCTGGAGATTGAACGACTAGAACAAGAAAGAGGCATGGCAAGAGAAACCAGGCCCACTCTGGAGTCAGTACCACAGTCTTTCTTCAGGGAGTGGGGAAAAGATGTCTTGCTATCTTAAATTCTGTTTGATTACTCTGTCCTCACTTTGGTACCAGTATTCATGACACTAAATATCTAGGAAGGATAATTTGTCAGAGTTCAGTGCTTTTTTTTTGGAGAGGTTTTTGTTATAGGGCGCGTGTGCTCGCCAGACAGACAGAGAGAGAGACATAGAGACAGAAAGCGAGAAATCACCCCCCAGGGGGGATGGCCACACCGCAATCCCTTCTCCTCCATTCTCCTCTCGGGATCTTGGGCACACACGCACACGCGCCCGGCATGAGTTTTAAGCCACCGGGTCCAGGACGCGAACCGTGGTCGACCACGTGGGAGTCCAGCGACATAGCCATTACGCTAACTGCTGGTTCCCTCAGAGTTCAGTGCTTTAAAATTGTGGGATTATTGATCATTTTGTGGCTCATTTTTTTGCCTTTTCAGCACTTTTTTAAATTAAAAATTTGTATTCTGGGGTCAACAGGTGGCATGAAGATTAACATGGCTGGATCTCACATGGCTGACTCTGCAGTTTGAGTCCTGGACCTGGTGGCTTGAAAATCACACTGAGCTTGTGTGCATGCGTGCCCAAAATCCCGAAAAGAGAATGGGTATGGACTGTGGCACAGCCATCCCCCCGAGGGGTGATTTCTCACTTTCTTTCTCTCTGTCTCTCTCCCATCTCTGGTGAGTGCATGTACCCTATAGCAAAAACTAAAAATAAAATAAAATACAATTTGCATATCTGTAACTATTTTTGTCTCTGTGGTCACTAAAATATCCCATTACAGGCAGGTGGCATGGTGGTTGAGGTGTTGGACTCCCACATGGCTGACCTCAGTTCAAGTCCCTGACCAGGTGGCTTGGTTTCTCACTTTCCCTTTCTCTTTCTCCGTGTCTCTGGTCAAATAAAATAATAACAAAATAATTCTTTTTAAAAATCCCATTATATGAAATTAATCCTTTTATTGTACTGTCTGAGCCACAAAAACACATGCTTAGAACCACATTGTACCTGTCCCTGCTCTGTATTTCCTCCACGGTTCTATGTTACTCAGGTCCCCAGTGTCCAGGTTAAATGGCAACACACCCCAAAGGCTGGTCCCTGACTGAGAGGAGTTGAACTTTCTCTAAACTCTTATGCATGGTCTCTTAGTCTCCTGCACTCACGCCACTTCTCACCTATTGTCTTCCATAAGGGGTTTTATGTTTGCCTCTGACCTCTTCACTCCAAGCCCACAGAGGGACTCTGAAGACTGAAGAATGTGAAACCCACACTCCAGCCACCTGCGTATCCCCAAGTCTCCCTCTGATTTGGTAACCATCTTCCTGATGGCTAGGTTAAAGTGTCTTGAGCTAATGTCTATACATGAAGAGAAACCTTGTACTCATCACCTCTATGTCTCCTGCATTCTTTAGGTTTTTATCCTTCTAGCCATCACTTTCCACAACACCTCCTTCTTCTCCTGTCTCTTTCTTACTCATCTCAGTCCTTCGGGTTGTGTCTTCTTGTGTTTTTATGCAGAGCTCCATGGGAAAAAGCACCCTCTTTGATTTGACTTGGTTTGAATTTTGTTTAACATACTCCATGGAGATAATTTTGTACAGCAGACTTTCACTGAACTGTAGATAAACAGAGGAGCTGGGACTGTTAGAGACAACCCCTTAACATGCAAGGTATCTGTCCATGATCATAAAAACCACCACCTACTAGGCTACTAGTTTGATGTTTCTTTTTGGATTGACCCTGAGACAAGGACTGATGGGCAGCTAGTACTCTTCAGAGGTGGTCCTGAGCAAGCCCTGTGAGGAGGTGGGTGGTAAGATAGGGAAAGCAGTAGGACTAAAAAGGGACCATCAGAGGGAGGTTGGGGCTAATGCTAATGAACTCAGTCATGCTAACAGCCCTCTTCCAGTGTGGGACTTAGCGCTGAGCTTATCCCTACAAGTAAGGGCCTTGATATTTACCCACCAGTTCCCTTCTCCTGTGGGTCCAGCAAGTTGACTCCCAGGTACGAGAGATCCACATTTTGAGCCATTCAAGCTGACTCTCAAGGATAGGGATCACCATCAGGCAGAGAGACACTATGACCAATGGCACCTCAGCTCCTCTGTTTATCTACAGTTCAGTGAAAGTCTGCTGTACAGAGAGACACTATGACCAGTGGGGCTATTTGCAGTGACCTACGAGGTAGGCCAAGGGCCTTCAACTGTCACCTCTCCTACATGGACCTGTTGACAGGCCTTTCTAGTTTACCATTGCATCCCTATCCAGCTCTCATTTCCCCTGGTCAGCTCCCTGGATTCTGGTGTTGTGCTTTGCCTTTAACACAATCCCTGTCACATTTTTAGACTGAGCTGTTAATTTTCCATCTCCCATTGGGTTCTGCCTGTCTGATGTCTTTCATTATCTAAATTCTCACAAATCAGATATTTGCCAATATTGTCTGCAAAACAACTAAAACTGACCAAGAAGAAAAGTACGCCATAACAAATATGATTCCCCTCCTTTTGGTTCCAGGCATGAGGACATATCATGGGCCCCCAAGGTGTCTCAGAAATTCTGTGACTAGGAGGACATCTTCTGCTCTTATTGTGTAAATACCTTGGTCATTATAACTACCATCTCCTCCACATTACTCATGAAAATGTGATCCAAGGAGGTAGAACATGGGTGAACCCAGCAGACTTAGAAAAGTCGTATTAGAAGAATTCACATGAGAAGAACTTGTTGCTCAGTGATGGTTTGAGAGAAAGAAAGGAAGCCTGGGAATTTTAAAGCAAAAATCAAAAATAAATGTTAGGACCTTGAAGTTTCATTAAATGTATTTGATTAGGGGATTAGGCCCAGATATTTGTATTTTTAACCGGCACAAGAATTTTTTTTTCTCTATCACACTTTTATTTGAACATACTATTTGGGACAACTGTTCAAAAGGGCTGTTATTTCTCAATTTAATCTGAGATCATAACAAGACAGGAAACAAAACAGCATCGGGGATTTCAGTTTCTCACCCTTATCATTGAGACTCACTGCCTCCCATCATCAATATTTATTGAGCATTTAGTGTGCTAGGCACAACAGCACATACAGAGAACATCGTCCCTGCTCTTGAGGAGCTTACCTTCTAAAAGGAAAAAAATACAACTCTTTTAAAATGGCATTTTTGCTTGGTGTTTTCTGCAAAGTACTGAGGAAATATTTTGTAGGGTGAGCTTTGGGGATAACTTAGCCCCATCATTATTTAGAGAATAGGGGGAGAGGAAGGATTTAAAGCAGACAATGGCAGGTCATTCAAGATAGGTAGGGCTTACAATCTCAACAACTAAGGAGAGATTTGCTGCAGTACATAGGATGAGGGAAATAGTTTGTGGGATGTGGGACCAGCAGGTGGCATGGCGTTAAGGTGCTGGACACTCCCACATGTTGACCATGGTTTGAGTCCCGAACCTGGTAGCTTGCTTTCTCACTTTCTCTCTCTTTCTCTTTCTCTCTCTGTGTGTGTGTGTGTCTGGTCAAATTAAAATAAATGAATGAATAAATTAAATGATGAATAATTATTTTTTTTATGATGAATAATTATTAAAAAAATAGTTTGTGGGATGCAAGCAAAGGAAGCAGGGTATCTTAGACATTGAGTGGAGCCAGAAAATTCATGCGGCCTTTTTCTGAGTGTATGGCCACCCAGTGGGAATGGTTGGTGACAAGACAGAAGGCTTAAAAAGGAAGGTGATCTTGTGATGAATAGAAAGAATAAAAGATCAAAATTGAAGGCAGGCTATAAGAGTATCAAGAAATTCTTGGGGACCAGCTGTTGGCGTAATGGCTATGTCACTAGACTCCCATGTAGTCGACCGCGGTTTGCGTCCTGGACCCGGTGGCTTAAAACACACGCCGGGCGTGTGTGCGTGTGTGCCCAAGATTCCGAGAAGAGAATGGAGGAGAAGGGATTGCGGCGTGACCATCCTCCCTGTGGGGGTGATTTCTCGCTTTCTGTCTCTATGTCTCTCTCTGTCTGTCTGGAGAGTGCACAGGCCTTATAGTGAAAACTTCTCAAAAAAAAAAAAAAAAGAAAGAAAGAAAGAAAGAAAGAAATTCTTAAAAATAAAAGTGAAACACAGAACTTACATTTAATGCTACCCAGGGTCATGATGGGTCAAGAATTCTGTGGCTTCCTAAGTTAGAAAATGCCATTTAGCAAAATTTTAAATGGAATAACACATTTTTTTCCAGTCAATCTTTCCTTCCCCCAGAAAAACTAGCGATTCAATTTTTTTGCGGGGAGAAGGGAGAAAGAGGGAAATATGGGACATGGTGGGAATAGTAGTTATATTATTAGTATCGTTGTTATGATAAACTTTGCATTTAAACCTTATAAAAGCCCACTAGTTGCCAAGAGGAAATAAGGAATAAATTTCCAAAAGTGTACAATTTCATTTAGAGAAGGTTTTTTTTTTTGTTTGTTTGTTTTTTTTTTTTGAGAGGTTTTTGCTATAGGGCACATGTGTTCACCAGAAAGACAGTCAGAAAGCGAGAAATCACCCCCCCCGCCCCCTTGAGGGATGACCACACCACAATCCCTTCTCCATTCTCCTCTTGAGATCTTGGGCACGCACTCACACACGCCTGGCATGAGTTTAAGCCATCGGGTCCAGGACTCAAACTGCGGTTGACTACATAGGAGTCCTGCAACATAGCCATTACGCTAACTGTTGGTCCCTTCATTTAGATAAGTTTTAAAACCGAAAGACTAATTTACATGAAAAGCTGTAGAGAAAGTAGTTGAGAAGTACATTCTTAAAACTTTTATTCCGCTTACGTGAACTTAATATATGTGTTCTTAACAATTATGCTTAGAGGGAACCAGCAGTTAGCGTAATGGCTATGTCGCTGGACTCCCACGTAGTCAACCGCGGTTTGCATCCTGCACCTGGTGGCTTAAAACTCACACCGGGCGCGTGTGCGTGCGTGCCCAAGATCCTGAGAGAAGAATGGAGGAGAAGGGATTGCAGCGTGACCATCCCCCTGGGGGTGATTTTTTGCTTTTTGTCTCTCTGTCTCTCTCTGTCTGTCTGGCGAGCGCACACGCCCTATTGCAAAATCCTCTCCAAAAACAAACAAACAAACAAACAAATAAACACGCTTAGATTGTTTGTGAAAATTTCTTAAGACATTAGACAAAGTTAGCCATCATCTCCAGTTATTTCCCTGGTGACTCTTTTATAACACATGCAAATATCCTAGAGAAAAATCACAAACAGCAAAAAACCCTAATAAAATTAAATACATGGGTTTTTTTGTTTTACTGCTATGCTTGAAATACATGAAACAATGGATATCCAGCAATTCATTTTTACTGCATCTTTACTTTTGCATTTGTTCTTAGATTACCTAAAACATTTAAATACAAATAAAATGAGTGTAGCAAAAATATTGAAAAAAAAAAACAGCAGGTAACTTTACAAATAATGGAATATGAACCGTTTCTGCCCTTATCCAGAGTAAATTGGGTCACCACTTTGTCTAAAG